AGAAAGAAAACGACTGTGTGATATCGGAGAGGACGACTGTTATTTAAGTGTCATTGCGGCTCTTTAGGCCTTCATTCACTGCAATAAGGCTAATTTTTTTTTCTCAAATTTTGCTCTCGTTAGGTCTATTTATGCTCTTTTACCTGTAGATTATCATTAGCTTTCATATCAGTATTTGTATTTTTTTATTTGAGTATCCCCCATGTCTTCGTTTTCTTTCTCTTACATCGCCGTGTAAAGTAAGGGAAACTAAAACAAAAATGATGCTCGTTATATTCCTCATTATGGTTATATTGTGTGCATTGCTTAATGAAACTTACCAAAAATTATATGCGAAGTAGATTAAACTCCTATTTTACTTGAAGCTTTTAAGTAAATAAGGAGTATCTGCAACATAATGTAAAGTAGTAAAGTTACATCATATTGATGATGAATATTTTCCACGTTTCTAATCATTTTTCTTGTAATCTTTAATTTATGTAAAGTAAGATATGACTTTCAAGTACACATTATTCATCTAAATCATTTGTGTTCACGAGGTTAGGAATTCTTTTCATTAACTTTCCCTTCAATGTGTTATTTAACAGCTTGATTCATACCACTAAAGAAAAATTTATTAGATGTTGTCTTGATAATTTCGTGTAAAAATACTTTTTTTCGTTCAGATATTGATTTCAGTGTATTCTGTTCTGATTAGTTTTTAGATTTTTTTTTCAATCTCCATAACCGCCTTGTCTATATAGAAAGCATATATATGTATAAAAATAAGAATGAATAACAAAGAAAATGACGGTGAATAATTTTACAACGTAGTAGAAATGACAGAATAAAAGACTATCGGAATTCCTTGAAATACTCTATTGCAATTTTGATTAAAATCTTTAATAGAAACGCTGCCTGCATTATCATGTTATTCATTCTAGTTTGTCATAATAAACTCCATTCATATATTTGTTAATGATACAACGATAATTTTCGTGTATCTGAACATTACCATCAACTATACACAATAAACAGATTCGAAACATAAACATATAGGCGAAGACACAGTTGTTACGTATTTTAAGACTATCGTAGATATAGCAAGTATTTTTATATAGACAATAAACTTATACCTGCCAAAGTAAAACACTTGAGAAGGCAGTTTTAAACTATATCTTTCTAGTAAACAACAGAAGCAGACAAATTCTATTGACGTTGTGTTTGTCATTTTTTCTTTTTCTTTTCTTTTTTTTTTGTTGAATAAGCGTGTTTCTTGCAACTCGGATTTTGAGTTAGCCAAAGAAACCCTTTAGTTTTAATGTGATTGAATAATAAAGAAACTAAGATAAGAACACTCGTTTGTTTTCATTTGCTGGCCTTAAAAAAATAGAATGCTGAAGAAAAAATGAAAGACATTTTTGAAAAGTTAAGTTGTGCCATTTTTATACGCAATATACAAAGTTATGGGGGCGCGGTGGTCCAGTGGTTAGAGCATCGGACTTTGGATTCGTGACAGATCCAGGTTCGAAGGTTCGAGTCCCGGCCGGCGCGTTGTTCCCTTGGGCAAGGAACTTGACCTCGGCGGCCCCGAAGGAAGGCAACGGAAACCACCTTCGTACACTCCCTTGTACAACCATGAAATTTAAAAAACATGGTCGCCAACGTCAGCCTCTGATACGGCACAAAAACAAAATACAAAGCTATGTTATATTACTGTTCTACACTGGTTTATTCATACATAGGACTCTTCCGTGTAGATACAAAGGAAAAATCCACAATGCAAAAGCTAGATTAATTGAAAATGAGAGAGAGAGAGAGAGAGAGAGAGAGTGTGTGTGTGTGTGTGTGTGTGTGTGTGTGTGTGTGTGTGTGTGTGTGTGTGTGTGTGTGTGTGTGTGTACATATCCCTGTAAACATCGCCATTACGGACCAATGCCGGCAATAACGAGCCATCGGAAAATCGGGGAGGTCTGACCAGTATTAAATCTTGGGACAATAAGACATCTCACCAACATATAAACTTTAATTAAAAGTTGGGCCATTTTCAGAGGAAGAAACAATGATAATGACATACAGAAGATGAATCGATTTACGTGAATTTATTTTCGGCTTCTTCTTACTTCTCTTCCTCTTTTCCGTTCTCCATTTTCCCCTCCCATCTCTCTCTCTATTCTATTTTTTCCTTTCCTCTCTCTCTCTCTCTCTCTCTCTCTCTCTCTCTCTCTCTCTCTCTCTCTCTCTCTCTCTCTCTCTGTGTCTCTCTCTCCTTCTCTCCCCTCCTCCATCTTTCCCTCCTACCTTCCCTCCCTCCCCCATACCCCCTTCTCTCTCTCTCTCTCTCTCTCTCTCTCTCTCTCTCTCTCTCTCTCTCTCTCTCTCTCTCTCTCTTTCTCTCTTCATCCCTCCTTCCCTCTCCCATCTCCTCCACACACGTGCAATAACACATACACACATACACTTAGACACACACACACACACACACACACACACACACACACACACACACACACACACACACTGTAAGGGGTATTTAAAGGGCCCTCTATGCATTGGTGACAGGGATAGTAAAAGCTTAGTGGCTAAAAACTCTTTTATTGATAGAGCTAGCACACACAGAATAAACACAAGTATGACCCTTGGTATTGGGCGGTCGGCTGGAGGGTCGCCGGGGTCACTCCCGGCCCAGCCTAGTGTCAGACGTGACCTAGACCGCACCAAGCACACTCTCCTTGACAGGGTCCTCCTTGGAGAATAAGTAGCGGTGACTGGAAGCCAGGGGCGGAGCTACAGAGGCGTGGCTAAAGAAACTGCCAATGCCCGACCTTCGCGTGGGCGTGGCCTCCCTATTTCCTGCCCAGGGCGTGGCTCCCTGCAGCTGGCCCCCAGGGCCTGGGAACGGTGGTCACTTTTCCCTTTTGCCCTGCCCCGGGGGGTAGCCCTCCTGGAGTCCTGTTTCTCGGGAGGTCAGGTGGAGGTCAGGTCAGGCCACCTGGGGGGAGGTCAGGTCCAGATGTTGAATCTCACACCGCTCTGCCACCTACCCTCGCCTCGTCCTCGTGGCGATCTAGACTTCCTCAAGGGTAACCCAACTTGGCTGGTTCCAACTTGCTCGTCCTCGATCTCGGGTGCTCTGGTCCCTGGGAATCCGTTCGTCCTCGACATCCTCACGTCCTCGATTGGTCTCGCACAGTCCTCGACCAGACATCCTCATAGTCCGCTTACAGGTCCAACTCGGCGGCTTATTCGCCCAATGCACGTCTTGCAGATCTCCGTCCAGGTCCTTCTCGGCTGCGCGCTCGTGCAGACGTCCTCGTAATCTTCGTCAGGATCTACGGGCGTCCGGCAGGAAGCGTCCTCTTCAACATCGTAGGGCGGCTGATACCTGCACTAATGAGCTCCTGGAGTTTGAATGGGTCTGCGGCGTCCAGGCAGGCTCGTCCACAGCATCATGGGACGGCGAACCTCTACTGGCGAGCCCTGTCGTCGCTGGATTTTGGGGGCGTCCTGGCGGCGGCGATCCTCCGATGACGTTTTCCAATGGCTTCCGAAGGCGACCGTTTCTGCAGCAGGGCCTCCTTCGGTGCCGTTTCAGATATCGGGAACCAGAATAACACATAATGTGGCAGATAGTGAGAGAAGGAAAAACGACAGAGAAGAGAAGGTGTTAAATGCTAAAGCAGATTTTTGTTTCATAATTTGCAGTTTTTAAAGTTGAATTTTCGTCTTTTTTTTATTTTGTGTTAAAAGAAGAAAATAGAAGAGGGAGACGTTGGTAGCGATCCGCAAGGATCCTCTTGAGCTACCATCATCTCGTGAAATGATAAAGTAATGGAAACGACCATTGGCATTCCGCAAGGAATTACTTGAACCAATGTCGAAACAGAAGGAAAAGTATGTAAATACGAAATCATGTACAAGTCACGCATCATGACTAACAATATTGCGGCAAACAAATACGTAAGCCTGCAACTAAGACAGCAGCAAATCTTATTAATGAAGGTTTCAGTGTCTTTTTGTCTGCGTCGGTGAGTGAGGGAGTATGTGTCCATGTTTGAGTGACAGTGATTGATGAGTGTTAAATGGAAGTAAGAGTGACCTCATAGCAGTAGAGTTGCTAACACACTGAATAAAGTTCATTCTAACAATAATGTGACTAATTATTCATAGACGTAATCTAAAATTATTTCAAGTACCACATTGAATTTAACATTTAATGATATGCGACAAGATGACGCATTAATGAATGGTGACGTGAAAATTATTCGCAAGCCTTTTCGTGAGCAAATCTTCTCGGGAATTTCCCCAAGGAAGTAGGTGTCTTTACCGACCATGCAGACTTTATTTGATGGGGGGACGTGACCCAAAAATTGCCGTATATAATGAAGCTTAAACGAGCTGGGAAAATCTATAAATTACCCACTCTATCTGCGGATCTATGATGGGCGCTCATGAAATGCCCTGTGGGGATTTATCATGAATCACGAACCGATGGGATTTTACCCAACATGACGGCGACATATAAAGTGTGAGCGGGTTGTGATTAATTAAGTGGATCCTAAATCAGACTTAAATCCTAGTCCTAAATTAATGGACATAATTGTGGTCACCCTGGCTCAAAGTTTGCCGAACATATGATCTACTTCAGTTACTTTAACTTACTATCATCTGCCGGAGACGCCGAGTACATTACGCAAAAAAAATGCAACCTTTCAATTAGGATACCTCTTGGCATTATATTTAATTATACAAGTCGCGTTACAAGTTCCGTTCTAGCGCCGATAGAATTTGTCACCATGAACATGTAACGGTTGCTATGCATTAACCCTATATTGTGACAACTTAGTTCAAACAATTAAAAGGGAATTGCAAGCTGTTTTTCTCCACCATTTACTGAGATAACTACTCCTAGTGAAAGTCAGATCAGGTCACGACAGCTATGCGAAGAATGACCATCAAGTGAGGTCAGGTCACGATAGCTGTCCCCTAATGGACTCTGATTAGCGCCTTTCAGCTGCGGTCAGGTCAAGACAGGAAATGGGGAGAGAAGAATTTAATGAATGAATATTCGTGAAAGAATAAATTCACGAACGCGCTAAATTCGATACAACTGAAACAAAATATTTTAATCACGAAAAAAAAAATAAATAGACGCTTAATAAATGAATGATTTCATACTGCTTAACTCCATACCGCGATTTACAGTAATAAGAAGTGAGGTCAAGAAAATGAGAAATGAGAATGAGAGTAAGCCATTGCTATACTTTAAACCCAAAAACTAACGTGAACTGGCTGTACACGGCCTACACATTTAGGAAAAATAGAAAAGAAATGAAAGAGAAGGGGCCCATAAATGTGTACTCACGGTTTTTGAAGATGTCATCTTGCGTTCTTCGAAGCCGAGCGGTTGTCTTCGGAGAATGATTCGGTTGTGTTTGGCACAACTACCACCGCTATCACCAGAATGTAAGGCTGTGGGAAGGGGTGGATAGCCGGCCGGGCACGCAACAACCACCGCTGTCACCAGAATGTAAGGGGTATTTAAAGGGCCCTCTATGCATTGGTGACAGGGATAGTAAAAGCTTAGTGGCTAAAAACTCTTTTATTGATAGAGCTAGCACACACAGAATAAACACAAGTATGACCCTGGGTATTGGGCGGTCGGCTGGAGGGTCGCCGGGGTCACTCCCGGCCCAGCCTAGGTCAGACGTGACCTAGACCGCACCAAGCACACTCTCCTTGACAGGGTCCTCCTTGGAGAATAAGTAGCGGTGACTGGAAGCCAGGGGCGGAGCTACAGAGGCGTGGCTAAAGAAACTGCCAAACAGCTGGCCCCCAGGGCCTGGGAACGGTGGTCACTTTTCCCTTTTGCCCTGCCCCGGGGGGTAGCCCTCCTGGAGTCCTGTTTCTCAGGAGGTCAGGTGGAGGTCAGGTCAGGCCACCTGGGGGGAGGTCAGGTCCAGATGTTGAATCTCACACACACACACACACACACACACACACACACACACACACACACACACACACACACACACACACACACACACACACACACACGCACGCACACACGTCCACTTACACACACACACACACACACACAAACACACGTCCACTTACACACACACACACATGCAATAACACATCACACATACAGTAACACACACACACACACGTCCACTTACACACAGTAGCATCAAGACAGTCAAGATATTTAGGGTTAGAAGCGTTCCTCTCTTGGCAGAGAATCTCCAAACGACAATCTGATAAACTGCCGGGGAAAAAAAACGGAAGACGGGGAAAAAGGGGGGTGGAGGGGAGGGGGAGAAGAGGCAAGAAAAAGAGAGAGAGAGTGAGTGAGAGCCGTGAAAAAAATAAGAAAGAGGGGGGAAAAAAGGGGGGAGGGGAGGGGGGGCAGAAGAGGCAAAAAAGAGAGAGAAAAAATGTCGTTTTTGTTATTGATAGATATTATCTTGTATCTTAACAAATAAGTTTCGTTATTTGTAAATATTAGTTTTTTTCTTTTGGTAAATATCAATTATATACATTTATCTGCTGTAGGTAATACATATATTTTTTCTTTCTTTCTTTCTTTCTTTCTCTTTTCTTCTTTTTCATTATCATTATTTACGTTCTAAAAATTATTTTTACATTTTCCTTTTTTACCATCTTTTTTACATTTTCTTATTTTTCATGTACTTTTTAAAATGCCATTTGGTTTGTTTTACTTTCCTAAAAAGAAAAAAAAAAAAACTTTGAAAGGGAGGGAGGTTTAGAATGAAAAATTCTCACGGGTCGTTTGTCGGTGCCAGAGATGATGGAAGGTTTTGATAAAATATATTGTGATATCAAAGGAGGGAAAAAACTTAATAATTGTGCAACGAATAGATTATTAAAACATATCATCATCATCAGGTGCCATGCCGGCAGGCGTGGGCGATCATGGCTCTCCAACCTTCACGATCTTTCATAGTGTGTAGGAACTCGGTGTTCTTCGCTGTTCCTAGCCATGATGTCAGATGGTCTAGTAGCTTCCCACGCTGCCAGCCACGATCCCTTTTACCATGGATCTTTCCCGTGACCACAAGTTGTTCTAGGGTCTCCTTTCGTGTAACGTGGCCTACGAATCTGGCTTGTCTGCATCTGATCTTGTTCAGCAGTTTCCATGTTTCTCCTGTCTCAGCCAGAACTTGTACATTAGTTTTCTTTGCAGTCCATGGTATTCGTAACATCCTCCTCCAGAACGACATTTCAGTTGCTTCGATCTTTATAGCAACTTGGTTGTCGATGGTCCAAGCTTCACAGCCATACATCAGGATTGGTTCGATGTAACACTGGAGAAGTTGTTTACGGATGTTGAGCGAGATGTTACGGTTCCTCATTATATTGCTCATGCTCTGGAATGCCGCTTTTGCTTGGCCTATACGACAACTAACCTCGGTTAGGCAACGCCCATCAGATGTAATTAATGCGCCAAGGTACTTGAATTTTTCTTCTTGTTTAAGGATGGTCCTGTTCGCAGTTATGTTGCATGATGGTATTTGCCCCTTCTTGATGACCAATGTCTTGGTTTTGGTGTTATTAATGGAGAGACCTTTCCTTTCGCTTTCAGCGATGACTGTATTTATATATATATAGCATTTAGAATATATATAGCATTGGCCGTGCCCTTTCCTTCCACAAAACCGCATTGTTCTTCAGTAATCTCCGGCTTAATTTTATTCTTCAGGAGTGTTTTTGTCACTTGACTCATCAGGCTTATGGTCCGATGGTTTTCACATTCTGTTGCTCCTGGCTTCTTGGGTAGAGCGATGAAGACAGACTTTAAAAGGTCTAGTGGCATCATACCTGTGTCATAGATCTTGTTCAACAGAGATGTCAGTAAGTTGATGCCATATTCATCTAGGGCTAGTATCATTTCTAGAGTGATGTTATCAGGTCCTGGAGCTTTACCTTTTTCATTTTTCTTACAGCATTCCTTACTTCATCTTCCATGATGGGTGGACCACTCATTTCTAAGTCGATAGTACGTTCCCTGTTCCTCTCATCATCAAAGAGTTCAATCAAGTATTCTGACCACCTCTCCATGATGATACCCCCTTTTGATTTAAGATATCCTGATGATGATTGAGTCTTCTTGTTGGTAATTTCACGGATCTTTTTATGCATGACTCTTGAATCAGAGTTATGATGTTTCTCAACCTCTTTGCATTTTTCAGTAAGCCAAGCTTCTTTTGCTTCATTGCATTTGATGGTAATATCCTTGTTTAGATGTTGATAAGCTTCTTTGTTGTTCTTAGAAGCCCTCCTTCTCTCCATAAGAAGCAATATTTCATCTGTCATCCATTTCTTCTTTGATGTTCTTCCTACCCTTGGTAGCACTTTGTTTGATGCATCCATGATCGAAACCTTCAAGCCCTTCTAATGATCCTCGATGGAATCAAGATCCTCTAAAGCACTGAACCTGTTCTTTACCTCTACAGTGTACTTCTCCTTTATAGTGTTATTTTTCTGGAGTAATGATACATCTAGTTGTTCCCTTAGGGTAGGTTTCTTTAGTGTTCTCATCTTGGCCCTAAATCGGCCCATCACTGGAACATGATCGCTGTAACAGTCTGCTCCTGGTAACGTTTTGGATGCCAAAAGAGAGTTACGAAAGCGTTTATTAACAAGAATGTAATCAATCTGTTTCCGGGTGTGGTCATCTGGACTCAACCATGTCCACAGTCTTCTTGGTGGTTGCTTAAACCAGGTGTTTCCAATTATCATGTTCGTTTGCGCCCATTCCACCAGCATCTCCCCTCTCTCATTACGGCTTACTAGTCCATGAGGACCCACGATGTTGTCTACCCTCTCGTTACCAACTTTAGCATTGAAATCCCCCATAACAATGATGATATCCTGGGATTTGCACTGCGAGTATGCCTGATCTAACTGGGCATAAAATCTGTCTATGTCTTCGTCACTGCTCTTAGTAGTGGGTGCATATGTTTGAATTATGCCGATGTCTATAGGACTCCCCTTAAACCTTGCTATCAGAATGCGGTCAGAAATGGCCCAGTATCCTAGTAAAGCCTTAGGTGTTTTCGAGTGTGCGATGATGCCAACTCCTCGTTCGTGCTGTTCGCCTCCTGAGTATATGATCTCATGGTTTTCTGATGATATAGCTCCAGCTCCTGTCCATCTCATCTCAGATATGCCCATGATATTGATGTGCAATCTGTTCATTTCCTCCTTGATGTTTTCCAACTTTCCAGCTATATTTATTGTTCTAGCATTCCAGGTAGTAATTTTAAGCGGATGTTTGTTCTTCAGCGCAGTAGCTTGATGACGGTCTGGTGTCACCTGCAGCTCATGACGAACCCTACCGGACGAGGTCGCTTCTAGGAAGCTACCCTTCACGTCATTGTTGCTATTCTCTGTGATGTGTTGTACTGCCATGATTGTTCTTGGGAAGGTACAGCAGTGGTTTCCCGTTGCCTTCTGCCGGTTTTTATCACGTGAGACAAAGTTCAAGGGGGAACACCGCGCCGGCCGGGACTCGAACCCTCGCACTCAGATCGCAATGATCTGACTCCAGTGCTCTAACCACTTGACCACCGCGTCCTCATTAAAACATATAAAAGACGATAAATCTGTGTGACTTTGAAGGAAAACTTTTATGTTAGTTTCATTCCTTTTAAATGTAATATTTGCTGTTGGTGAGAGAGAGAGAAAGAGAGAGAGAGAGAGAGAGAGAGAGAGAGAGAGAGAAGGAGAGAGAGAGAGAGAGAGAAGGAGAGAGAGAGAGAGAAGGAGAGAGAAAGAGAGAGAGAGAGACAGACAGACACAGAAGAAGGGAGGGATAGCTGGAGAGAGAGAGACAGACAGACAGACAGACAGAGAAAGAGAGAGAAAGAAAAAGAAAAAAAAAACTGTCTCTACACATGCATCTCTCACCCAACCCCAAAGCCAAAACAAAGCAAAGCGAGGCAAAACTTCACACCATTTGTTTTAGAACAGTGGTTCCCAAACTAGGGGCCAT